AGACCAAGTCTCACTCTGTCACTCAGGCTGGAGTGCAATGGCGCAAACCTGGCTCTCTGCAACCTCTGCCTCCTGGGTTCAACTGATTCTCCTGCCTTAGCCTCCCAAGCAGCCGAAATTACAGGCATGTGCCACCACATCCAGCTGATTTTTGTGTTTTTAGTAGAATTGGGGATTTCACCATGTTGGCCAGGCTGGTCTCAACCTCCTGACCTCAGTTGATCCACAGGCCTCAGCTTCTCAAAGTGCTAGGATTACAGGCATGAGCCACCGCGCCCGGCCAATTAAGTGACCTTAAACAGCACTATTTCCTGGCCAGATGCAGTGGCTCATACCTGTAATCCCAGCACTTTGGGAGGTCAAGGTTGGTATATCACTTGAGGCCAGCAGTTCAAGACCAGCTTGGCTAACATGGTGAAACCTAGTCTCTACTAAAAATACAAAATTAGTTCAGCATGGTAGCATACACCTGTAGTCCCAGCAGATGCAGGAGGATCCCTTGAACCCAGAAGATAGAGGTTGCAGTGAGCCAAGACTGCACCACTGCACTCCAGCCTGGGTGACAGAGCAAAACCCATCTCAAAAACCAAACGAAACAAAACAAAACACAACCATCACTATTTCCTGAACTTCAATCATTTCGATACCATAAATAAACATTACCAGTATTATCACTTACTTGATTCTGTCTCTAAACTGACTTAGTTTTTAAATTTGGCCTTGTCCTCAGCCTTATTATACAATTATGACACTGAGACACAGGAAGGGAACTCTATTAAATTTTTTTAATCTGTCGATATATGATCATCTGTGTATCACAAGAAATAAAAAGAAGCTATTTCTGAATTATTTACCAGTGTTTCTCAATGTGTGGCAGATAATGATTCAGAAATAGGTTCTCTCTATTTCTGCATCAAGATAAGGCTGTATTCTTTCAGCCCTGAAAACACTAGAAAAAAAAAAGATTACAAAAGAAATTATTTAAACAACATCAGGATTAAAGCTACTCAAAACAGACAATATTTCTAAACAATTAAAACTAAAATCAAGATCACACAACAAAAGGAATTTACAACTGTCCGCAAGTAAACTCTTAAGTGTTCTAACCAATCTTTGCTTCCAGTCCTATTCCTATCAAAGAATTTCCTGCATTATATTCAAAACCATTTTTTAAAAAATCTGATCATAGGCCCAGCTCTGTGGCTCATGCCTGTAATCCCAGCACTTTGGGAGGCCAAGGCAGGCAGATCACCTGAGATCAGGAGTTTGGACCAGCCTGGCCAACATGGTGAAACTCTGTCTCTAATAAAAATACAAAAATTAGCCAGGTATTGGGCCAGGCACAGTGGCTCACACCTGTAATCCCGACACTTTGGGAAGCAGAGGTGGGTGGATCATGAAGTCAAGGGATCGACATCATCCTGGCCAACATGATAAAACCCTGTCTCTACTAAAAATACAAAAATTAGCCGGGTGTGGTGGCAAGCACCTGTAGTCCTAGCTAGTCAGGAGGCTAAGACAGGAGACTGCTTGAACCCAGGAGGTGGAGGTTGCAGTGAGCCAAGACTGCACCACTGTACTCCAGCCTGGCGACAGAGCGAGACTGTCTTTTTAAAAAAGGAAAAAGAAAAGAGTCATGGAAACTCAGGGTTGGAGAGACTTAACTATCATTCCAGCCAGTCACCC